ACGCCTGAGGACAGGGACCGGTGCCGCGAGCTCCCTGCTGCGTGGCCCTGGCCACTGTCCCGGGCCCTGCTCCGGGAAGGAGGGGTCTCGGAGTCTGTGGGTGGACAGGCCGGTGCGTCAGGGGCTGGGCAGGCTTTCTTAGGGGGGGCAGGCCGAGCGCCCTGGGATTGAGCAGCCTACAGGCGTGTGCAGGGGTCCTCTGTGTAGCGAGAGAGGGAGAAGGTGCTGTCCTGCCCGGGGCATACTGGGTGGCCTGGGAGGTGGCCCCCAGGGCCTGGCTGTGCACGGCGGCTTAGTGCTCCGAGCGTGCGGATGTCAGCAGATGTGAGGGCCGCACGGCCTCCCGGAACACAGTGTGCTGCTTCCGCATAAGATAAAAGCGCAACCATCCTCTGACCCAGAATTGTGCTGCTGATAACTGCCCAAAGAAACAAAAGCAGAGGTTCACACAAAAACTCGTACGTGCACGTTCACTGTAGCTTCGGCCATAACTGGAAACAATCTGAATGGTCACCAATGAGCACACTGTGGAGTATCCATAAAAATGGATGAATCACAGGCACATGTCATCTGGATCAACCTGCAAACATCGCAGGCAGCGAGAGCACCTTACGTGAAGGGGCGCGTTCCACTTACACGAGTTCCGGAACACACAAACGTGATTGCAGTGATGAAAACCACACCAGCGGTTTCCTGGGGCACGGGGGGTTTGGCTACGAAGGGACACCAAGGAGCTTTCTGGGGTGACGGGGACGTTCTGGACCCAGCCATGCGGTAGCCGTGTTGTGTGCAAGAAACCCTCCCATGATGACGAAATGCCGCCGTTGGGGCGGAGTGAACACTGTCAAAGCGGCAGCGTCTGCGCTGTCATCCGAGAGCCGCTTAGAACCTGGAGTCGGCCACCGTGAGGACGGCACGTGGCCCGGGAGCGACCTCGGGGACAGCCCTCTGGCCATGACACGACAGAGCTTCCAGACACACGAGGCAAAACCAGACAGAGCCGCAGGGCGGTGGCCAGGTCCACAGCTACCCCGAGACGTGGACTCTCCCTCCCGAGGACCATCAGGGAAAGTGGCCCGAAGTCAGCAGGACACAGACGACGTGGGCAGCCGCGGCCGGCTCGACCTGGCGGGCATTTCCGGAACAGTCCCTGAAACGCAGCGGAGGACTCACCCCTTCGAGGTGTGTGTGGAACATCAGCTAAGCCCATCTGCTCGGCCTGATAACCAGTGCGGCAGATTCAAAAGGATTGAAATCAAACAGAACAATCCTCTGGCTACGAAGGAATGAAGTTAGAAATCGATAATAAAGATCCCCAAAATTGACAAAAGATGAGAACAGGCATTTTACCCAAGACACCTGAATAGTCGATCAACACAAGACAAGAGGTCCCACCTGACTGTGCCACTTAAACAGCAGAGACCGTCTTCCCTCCAGGCTGGCGAAAGTCCAGCCCCTCGGCAGGGGGGACGGGGTGGCTGGAGCCCGGCAGAGGGAGGAGAACTGAGCCCAGGTCAGCAAACGGCTCCGGCTGAGCACAGACGACAGCACGTCCTGCCCCGAGCCGTGTGCCCCCGGGTTTGTGTCTGATAGAGACACAGGTCTGTGTGCCCAAATGTGTTCACCGTAGCCCCAACCTGGAAACAACTGGACCGCCCACGGCAGGTGTGTGTGCACGCTGCGGGAGCCTGCAGAGCCGTGCCGTGGGTAGCAAAGGGACGGACACAGCCGCACACAGGCTGGGGAAGGAAGCGGCGCAAGAGCACGCCCTGCATGGGCCTCGCCAGGCGGAGCTGGGCACAGGCGTCAGCTTCCCTAAGAGTGGGGTTGCGGCTGGCGGGACCGGTGCTGGCTGTGCAGCCGCGCTCAGACAGCGGAAGAAAACGAGCCGCGCCGTCAGGGCCCGTGCGTGCTGTGTGCGCACCGCCCCGCCAGGCAAATGCCAGCAAATGTCAGCAGGATTACGGCGACGGCAGCTCCGTCTGCAGCCAGGAGTGCAAACACTAGCCCGCAGGGAAGGCCCCGGGCATTATCTCCTAAGACCCGATAAAACCTCGGGGCCGGGCGACTCCGCTGCTGGGCACCCCCCCCCCAGGCAGTGTGCGCCCAGCCGAGGGGCAGGAGGTCACTTTGGTGCCTTGCGACCAGCACCTTCTGCAGATCGAAACAGAAGAGGCCGGAATAAAAACTGCAGACGCGGCGCATAGCCAAGGTGCCTTTATTGCGGTGTGAGTCTGTGTGCGCCGGGCACGTGGCCCGGCGCCGGCAAACGGTTCCCACGAAAGGCCAGACGTGAAGTCTCTGCTCCGTGGCCGCGGTGAGAAACCCGCAGGTGGCTGCCTGTAACAGAACCGGGCCGGCGAGGCTGAGCTGGGCCCGCGACCCCAGGGGCGGCCGAGGATGTGGGGTGACCGGCGCAAACACTTCCAGTGCGAAGGGAAAGCAGCAGCCACCGAGGAAACTGTGACGCTGCCGCTCCCCACGCACCTGCCGCCCCGCAGCCCTGGACAGGTGTGCGCCCAACACTGCTCCGGCCCGCCCGGGGTCCCAAAGGGCCCGGGGAACGCCCCAAGGGCCGGGGCCAACCAAAGAACGTCAAGGCAACCCCGGAAGGCCCCGCAACCCAACAAGGCCAACCCGGAACCCCCGGAAGCAAAAAGGCGAGAGACACCCCACAGCCCCCGCACGGCGCCCCCACAAAAAGCCCCCACAGCGCGCGCGCACAACAGCGCACACCCGCGCCACACCCACACCGCTGAGACACACACAGACCCCGAGACACACAGAGCGGGACACACCCCAGAACAGGGCTCCCCACAAAAAAGGGGCGCTCGGCAAAAGTCAAAAAAAAAAAAACACACAAAAAAAAAAAACAAGAAAAACACAGAAAAGAGAAAACACACCCACACCTCCACACACACACACACACACACACACACACCACACACACACACACCCGAGAACAAAAAAAACGACACACACCCCCGACACAGGACACGAAAAAAAGGTCACAGTATACACACACAAAACACTGCAGCGCTTTAAAACACACGAACAGACAGCAATGAACTACTGACGCGCACAGAACCACGGACGAGTCACAGCAACACGTGTTTCGTGAGAAGCCAGAGAGCAGACTGGCGGCGTGGCTCTGCTTATGCGGCGGGAACAGCAGCGCCAGAGCCGCCGCCAGGGTGCAGGCGGGAGGGGCCGGGGGCGTCCTGGGGGCGTCCTATGCCTCGAGTGGGGTCTTGGGTCCGTGGGGTCCCCACTGCGGCCTAAGACCACAGGTTTTGCCACGTGGAAATTCTACCTCAATCTAGAAAAGCAGCGCTGGGCCCGGGTGCCCACGGCACTGCCCGGCTAACTCGGGGCGGGGCGGTCGCTGTTCTTTTGGACTCTGATACTTTTCTAACTCTCAAATAAGCCCCACGAAACCCAGGAGAGGGGAAGGAGTCTTCACCCCGCTGAGCGGCTGCTCCTGCAGGAGTGCCCGGCTCCTCTGCACCCTCCTGACCCAGAAAAGAACATCCTGGCCGCCCACACATGTGGCGGCCGGAGCTCCTCTGAAATCCGCGTCCGTCTCCCTCCTCCCTGAGGCCCCGCTGGGCCCTGGGTCTGGGGGAACTTGCCCGCCTGGGGTATCTCCCAGCGTCCCGCGAGCTCCCGCCCAGGCTGGCGGCCAGGGGCGGATCCAGGCTCAGCGATGCCCTGGGGACCCGGGGAGGCTGGGGTTACCCGGGAGTGGCCTGGGGTCTGTGACCACCCCGGGCACCGGAGCCTCCACCAGGGCCCCTTTCTCAGGCGCCCCAGGACGGTGAGCAGCAGCTTCGAGAGTCTCCCCCACCGCATGGCCCAGGGGACGGACCCGCGAGGTGGTGGCGGTATCCAGTGCGTCCGCTCCGAGCTCGCTGAGTTATTCCTCGACTCCCGCAGCCACCTGGAGCCCCAGGCCCTGCGCAGCGGACGCAGACCCCAGCTCTGGGATGGGGCTGGACGGGGTCTGGGGAGAGGCGGGATTTGGGCCCCTCAGTAGGAAGCTTCCTCTGGATGCTTGGAATCATGTGCCAACCCCCGGGACACGGGAGGCCACGGGCACTCTGTCCCCAGCGCCAGGCGACACGCCGGGCCTCCTCTACTGCCTGAGGCTCTGCTGGCCCCGGAGGATGAGGTTCCCCCCACAGCACTCTTGGGCTGTGGGTCCCAGCCCGACAGGGGGTCCCACTCCCAGCCCGAGGGTCCCAGCGTCTCCAGGGAAGCTATCTTCAGCCCCCCCACAGCTGCTGTGCAGGAAGTCCTTCCTCGAGTCTATCTGGCGCCCCAGAGAGGTTGTCCTGGGATGTGAGCAGGGGCAGAAACCCACGGGGTACCCGGGGGAGCCCCGAGCCCAGGCCTGGCACTGCCCGGGTTCCCTCACAGCCCTGGGAAACCACAGAATACGAGAGCCCCCAGGGCCTGGCGGGACTCCGGGCCCCACGAAGCGCTTGGCACTGGCCGCCTGCCACTGCCCGCCCATAGCACTGGCGTCCCCTCACCTGTGTGGCACCCTCCACCAGGTCCTCCTCCCAGGGGGCCAGGTCCACACAGCCCCCTTCTTCAGGGCATGAAACTTGGGTCCTCACCAACTCACCCCAAACCTAAACTCCTGGCGTGAGATGAGCATCGCTGACTGGCCTCTATGGGGTCAGAGGGCAGCCTGAGCATTGGAGGACCTGGCCGGCCGGGTGCGGGGTGGTGGCCGGGAGCGGGGTGGCGGCTGGGTGCGGGGTGGCAGGGGGGTGCGGGGTGGTGGGCGGGAGCGGCGGCCAGGCCCCAGCCAGAGGAGGGCATTTGGGGCGGAAAGGGTGGGAGGTCTCTTGGTCCGGGGACTACCGGGCCCTGCTGGGTCGGTCACCGGTGGAGAGCCCGTCTGCAGGCCAGTGGGAGGTCTGAGTGTCGCGGGCTCCGGGGAACCTGGGTAGGACCCAGCCGTGACACTGTCCCCGTGGGCAGAAGCAAGGTCCACGGGCCGCAGCTCAACCGCGGCCGGCGCCCACGCTTCCTGTCTCCAGGAGGCCACGTCCCTTTCCGGGCCGCCTCTCAGCAGACTCGGAAGATGGGGGCACGTGCAGCCCCTCTGAGTCCCGAGAGGAGCCGGCGCAGCCCCGGGCCCGCCGACGTGGACACTGCCTCGTCCTGCGGGCGCCAGCGCGGGGGCCTGGCTCGCCTAGATCATGCCGGCCAGCCAGGGCGGCAGGAAGAGGCCCACGGTGCCCAGCAGGCAGACGATGACGAACATCCACAGGAAGATGCGGTCGATCACCATGGCCACGTACTTCCAGTCCTCCTTCACCTGCAAGCAGACCAAGCAGACTCGGGTCACACCCCGCACGGCGCTCGGCCTCCCGGGCAGCCAGAGAACCTTCTGGAACCTGGTGCTGCCGGGGCAGGTCCTCGCTGCCGTCCTCTCACCCTCCCGCCCGACCGTGGGCGCGGGCACCCCCTGCACACGCCTGCGCAGAGGCGGCTCTCGAGGGGCAGGAGACCCCTGCGCAGCTGCTGTCCGGGTCCCCGCCCCGCCCGGCTCCGAGGCCCCAGGGCCACCGCCCGTCCCCAGCGCCCCGGCTGTCCTGTGTGGACGGCGGCAGTTGTCCCCAAGGACCTCGACTGCGCCCTGGGCTCCATCAGAACTGCCCCCAGGGTGGGCCACGGGGGGCGCCCCCAGTCTGAGGCCCGTGGATGTGGGAGTGGCCCGGTGAGGACGTGGCTAGCCCACGTGGCAGGCCACTGAGGGACTGGAGGCAGAGCCTGGCTTCTCGCTTTGGGGCACCTGCTTGGATTCGTTGTTATATATATTTATTTATTTATGAGACAGAGTCTCACTCTGTCACCCGGGCTAGAGTGCCATGGCGTCAGCCTCGCTGACAGCAACCTCCAACTCCTGGGCTCAAGCAATCCTCCTGCCTCAGCCTCCCGAGTGGCTGGGACTACAGGCATGCGCCACCGTGCCCGGCTCATTTTTTCCTATATATATTGTTTTAGTTGGGCAACCAATTTCTTTCTATTTGTAGTAGAGATGGGGGTCTCTCGCTCTTGCTCAGGCTGGTTTCGAACTCCTGACCTTGAGCAATCCACCCCCCTCGGCCTCCCAGCGTGCTAGGATTACAGGCGTGAGCCACGGCGCCCAGCCTCGCTCGGATTCTTTGAAGTCCTCACAGGTGTGCTGGTGGCTTTGAAACCAAACGGCCGGTTTATTTAGGGGAAACCTGGCCGCGTATAAATGGAAAGTCCCAGCTGGGACTCTCGCCCGGGAAGGCAGCGCGGCCTCCTGCGCCTCATTCTCCAGTTTGCTTTGATTCCCCGCCCTGCCCAAAGCTCCCGCCCAAGATGAAGCGGGGCGCGGACCAAAGCCCTCCCTGCTGTCCCCCGCGGCCGCGTGACCCGCAACCTGCCAGGCAGATAAAGGCGGCCCCCGCACGGCCGGGTTTTGTTACAATTTTGACTGAACTTCTACAAACACCTCTCACGGGCTCAGACTACAGCAAAACGCGTCCCAGAGCCTCTCCCAGGCTCGTCTCAAGACCCTGGAATGTTCCAGAAACCCGCAGAATGGCTTCACAGCTTTCCGGGAGTCAGTGGGGTGATCATGAGGGCGAGCCTCTCCCTCCCTCCTCGGGTGTGAAGGGGAGCCCCCATCCAGGCCGTCAGATGTGGGGGGCTCCGGCCCCTTCAGAGAGGGCCGGTCCTCGGGGACACGGGAGCCGGGGACGAGAGGAGGGTCGGCGGGGGCATTGGCACCGGCCGAGGGGCAGACGGCCAGGACCGGTGCTGAGTGGACATCACAGGTGACCGCAGAGGCCCGAGGTGGGCGGCTACGACAGCCCAGCCACCCGCACCACCCCTCCCAGGTGGAGCCCCAGACGCCCGGCCAGCCCTCCCAGACCCTCAAGGGCCCGGCTGACCTGGGGGTGCGACCCCGAGAGCTGTGTGACCCCCTCTGTGTGACAGGACGGAGCAGAGGGACCCCACTGTCCCTAAAGCCTTTGTCCTGCTGACACTCGGGTGTGTGGGGTGGGCAGCAGGGGGGCTGGCCCAGCCCCCGCCGCACTTGCCGGGAGAGCCGGCTCTAGGTCCGCACACCCTGGGCAGCGTCTCACCCGGGGCTCCCCAGCTCCCCCCCAGCTCGGCGGAGGGGCTCCCAGGGGTGGGACAGTGTCCCTGCCCCCGTCTCTCCTCCTCCCAGGCCTCGAAGACCACCTAGCTCCATCACGTCTGTGCTCTCCTGGTCCTGGCCCCCGGAGGGCTGTGCTCCTGGCCACAAGCCAGCACGGGGCACGCGGAGCTGCCGCAGCCTCACTGCACTTGGGGAACCGGCGCGCTGTGCAGGGGCTCCCAGGACGCCCCGATGAAGCCCTTGTGGCACCAGCCCCCAGGACGCCCCAAGGAAGCCCTGCGGCACCAGCCCCCAGGACACCCCGAGGAAGCCCTTGTGTCCTGCTGGAAGACGGTGCCAGGCACTCCCGCTGCCAGCCGCTGAGCTCGCCCCATCCGACGCCGGAGGGGAGGCACTGCCATCCACGCCCCTCCGGCCACTGTGGGCCGCCTGCCCCCCCAGCCCAGGACAGCACTGCTGGGAAGAGGCTCTGCTGTGAAACCGGGGTGCACACCCCGAAACTGCACAGCCCGAGGGCGGGACCCAGGCTCCCGGTTACCCGCCAGCCGTGGAGAGATCCACCCGCTCGCTCCAGTGGGCCGGGCCCTCCCGCAGCAGGGTGCAGGGACTCACCGAGAAGTCCGTGTCTTCCGCCTTGAGGTGGTCTGCGATGTACTGCACGCCCTCGACCGCCCGCAACAGCGCCGGCGACAGCGGCAGGGGCAGGGCCGGCGCTCTGACGGGGGCAGCTTTGAGCGTGGCGTCCGGGGACGCTGCCGGTGGCTCCCTCTTGCAGGTGCAGGTGCACGGAGAGGCCTGGTCTGGGGGTGGGAGCTCGGCTGGGGGAGCCCCGCGGGAGGCCGGGGGGCTGGCCGCTGGGGCCTCTGCCTGGAAGGCAGCGGCGTCGTCCCGGGGGGCGCAGTACTGGATGCTCCGAGACCGGCAGCGGCCGCTGCCCTCCACGGCCTCGCCGCGGCCCGGCACGTGCTGCACGCTGAGGGACCTGGCCTTGGCGAGCCCCGGGGCCCGGGCGCTGCGGGGGCGGGGGCTGGCCTCCTCGGCCTCCTCAGCCTCCTCGGCGGGCTGCGGAGCAGGCAGGGCGTCGGAGGGCGACTCCCGCGCAGGCTCGGGTGCGGCGGGCGCGTCCAGCGGCGGGGCAGGGCAGGCCGGGGAGGGCGGCGGGCCCCAGCTGTGGGTGCCGCCCGGCACAGGGGGCTCCCCCTCGGGCCCCGGCCAGAGGCGCGGGGCGTTGGCCATCTTGTGCATGGACTCGATGAGCCGCCGGCAGTTGTCCTTGACGGCGGACGGCCGCTTCATGAGCAGCAGGCGCGGCACCACGTCCAGGAAGACGCGGCGCACCCAGGCGGGCATGGTGTGGGTGCGCGGCGAGCGGTGGTGCACGTTGAGCACGAAGACGGTGATGACGATGGACAGGGTGACGAAGATCATGGTGAAGAGCAGGTACTCGCCGATGAGCGGGATGACCAGCGAGGTGGACGGGATGATCTCGGTGATGAGCAGCAGGAAGACGGTGAGGGACAGCAGCACGGAGATGCACAGCGTGACCTTCTCGCCGCAGTCGGACGGCAGGTAGAAGACCAGCACCGTGAGGCAGGAGATGAGCAGGCAGGGGATGATGAGGTTCACCGTGTAGAACAGCGGCAGCCGCCGGATGACGAAGGCGTAGGTGATGTCGGGGTAGACCTCGGCGCAGCACTCGTACTTCCTGGTGTTGTAGGTGCCCACGGCCTCCACGATGACCCACTCCCCGCTCTCCCAGAAGTCCAGCTGCTCCACGCGGCTGTGCATGTTCACCAGGTCGATCTTGGCCTTGTCGTAGGTCCAGGAGCCGAACTTCATGGTGCAGTTCTGCTGGTCGAAGGGGAAGAAGGTGACGTCGATGCTGCAGGAGCTCTTGTAGATGGCCGGGGGCGTCCACTGCACCCGCCCGTCGTGGAACAGGTGGGCCTTGGTCAGGTGGGTGACCGCGAAGTCGCCGTCCGCGCTGGGCGGGGAGAGCGAGAAGGGAGGGCGTTAGACCTGCTGGCGCACCCACCCGGCCGTGCCCCCGAGCCATGGGCGAGCACGGAAAGGCGGGGGACGCCGCCCGCCTCGGGGCCGAGCACGGGGAAGCGCGGGGAGGGCGCTGGCCCCAGGTGAGCACTCACCTGTGTAGCTTGCTCTGCTCTCCCTGCACTGGGGGTGGCGAGTGGTCAGAGGGCACGGAAGGGGTCTGTCTGTGCCACGCCTGACACGCGGCAGGCAGGACACCCTCCGTGGTGACTGTTGGCCTCTGTGGGGTGGAGCCGGGACCCTGGCCGCCTCCTGGCTCTTCCTCACGGCCCAGGGTGTCCCCAGGCACCTGCACCCCTGAGCAGCTCCCGGGCCGCCGTGGGGATCCCTCACCCTGACTTCCGCCACGTACCCCCAAGGGCCCAGAGGCCACGTCCCTGCATGGTGAGGACGAGGACGCCAGGGCCACATCTGCTCATCCGCCTGCTGCTCCCTCTGCCCCAGGGACAGGGCTGTCCTGTCCACAAGCCCAGGCAGGTGACTGCTCCTGGCGAGCGGAGCTCCCAGCCTGGCCCTGAATGTCACGGAGTGAAGGACCCCATGCAGGAAGTGCTGGGCCTGAGGCCCCCCCCCATGTGCCCTGGGCCATTGCTGTGCCACTCTATGCCTCAGTTTCCCCACAAGCACCAGGCTGCCCACTCCGACCTGGGCCAGCACCCGCAGACCGCCCAGCTGGCTTTGGCTCAGAAACACGGAGGGGAACCAAGTCCTGCACTAATGAGCTGAGGCCGACTCCTGCCCGTGACGGCACCACGTGCCCAGCGCCCACCTGGCACCATGGCGGCTGCGGCACATCCAGGGCACAGCCCCTAACCTGCCCCCGGCACCTCCTGCCTCACCCCAGCTGCCTGGCCTCTGCCTGTCCTGCCTCACCTCATCCCGAGGCCCAGCTCGGAGGCCAGGGCTCCCGCGGTCCTGGGCAGGGATGGCCCTGCTGCCCTGCACTCCCACTCCCTGCCCCGCCCGCCAGGTCCCGACCTGCACAGGCCACGGGGCCGCAGGGACCCGCAGGGGCCTTCCCTTTGTGGTGCCCTCAGGGTCACCGAGCCCTGGCCCCCAACAGTCTCCCCCGGGGCCCAGCCCGGCCTCTGCCCTCCCTGTTGACTCGGCCAACGCCTTACGGCACGGCCACGCGGACAGAGGGGGATCCCACGAGAGCACAGGTGCAGGGCAGAGGTGGCGCCGGCTGGGCGGGGGCCAGGCCCTGCCGCCTATTTCTGTCATGTAAAATCAGGCCCCCCAGCCCCGCCTCCCCCAAATCAGAGCCTTGTGCTTCTAAGGCACAAAGTGCTCTCCTGGGGCAGGGGGAGCTCTCCGTTCACCAGACACTCGGCAGAGGATGCCTGAGCCTCTGACTGGGGGGTGGGGAGGCCCAGGCCGCTCTGGACAAGGCCCTCGGGTCGGGTCTCGGCCGACTCCCACCCCAGGAAGGGGGAATGTTCCGGCGCTTTGCATCCTGGGCAGCACACGCCCTTCCAGCCCCAAGGAGGGTCCGCACGCACCAGGGCCCTTGGCCCACGCAGACGATGGGGACGGTCCGTCTCCTCCCGGCGCACTCTGCGCCCCGCCGCCCCCCTCGCCCCACGCCGGGCCACACGCCCTCCCGGGGTGCCCCGAGGAGGCCGCTGGCCGGGCTCGCCCTCTGAACCCCGCCTCGGACCCCACGACGCGCTTCTGAGCCAGGCGGCACCTCGCGCCTGCCCCGCACGCTTCCTGAGGAAGGAGGAGGTCTGGGTGGCAGGGCTGGGGCCCGGTCTCCCCCGGCCTGGCGCCGGGACCTTCGTCTTCCACCCGTGGGCTGGTGGGGCCGCCTGGTGTGGCCAAGACCCAGCGGGGCACGGAAGCCAGGGCCCTGTGCTGCTTTGCCCCTGTGCGGAAGGGTCCTGCCCTGGCAGGGCCCCCGAGAGGGCGGAAGGGGCGACTCCCCTGCACCGGGACGCGGCAGTTTCTGCGGGCGTCACTGTCGTGGGGGCCTCTCCCTCCACAGGCTCCCGCGCTGTCCCAGCAGTTTCCCGTCCCACACCCCACGCCCAGCCCTCCGGGTGCAGGCGCCTGGTGGACTGTTGGGCCCCGAGCTGGGTCTGAACTTGCACAGACCTCGGCCTAGGGGCAGGTGGGCCTGAGGAGCCCGTCCTGGGGGGCCACGATGCCGCCCGAGGGAAGCAGCCCGTGAGAGGCGAGAGGCCCTGGGACACCCCGGCCCACCCACCCTCGCACCAGGTCCGGGGTTTCTGGGCTCCTGCCCCAAAGGGCCAATCTTAGGGAGGCCCAAGTGGACAGCAGGGCCTTGAACCAGGGGCTCCCGAAAGCCAGGGGCAGGGCTGAGGCCCAACCCCGGCCGTGCCCAAGCACAGCTGCCTGTTGCCCCAGAGACGGGCCTCCCTGGGGGCTGTGGCCGGACACCAGCATCAGCTGCTGCTCTGGGGTCTTCCCAGCCCCCACCCAGCCCCAAGTCCTGTCCATGGGCCTCGGCGCCACCCCTAGGCATGCAGAGAAGCCGGGTCCACCCACTGCCCCCCACAGGCCCTGCAGGGAGGGGGCCAGGGTGGCGGCAGCCCATGCTCTCCCGCACTGTGGTCCTGGGGGCTGCAGACCGGATCCCAGAGCGTGTCAGCGGGCTGGCCCACCCACCCAGAGAGTTCACAGTTCCCTGAAACACACACGCTCTCACGGGTCAAACAGGGAGGAGTGTTCAATGCTAGGTCCTGGAGGTGGGGGCAGTCTGGGCTGCCAGGGAGACTTCCGGGGGCCCCGAGTCAGAACAGGCGGCTTGCAGGGGACCGAGAGCCCGTCCTGCGGGAAGGCCACTGGCCGCCCCCTAAGGCTCCCTGGAGAACCTCCGCAGACCTTTCTGGGCCGAGGCTCTTCCTGCTGCCGTTTCTACAACCAATTAGGCTGGAGGAGGAGCACGGTCGCTCTTCATCAGGCAGGAGCGTTTGTAGGTCAGGAGGACGCCCTGGGCCTGGAGGGGCTGTGGCAGCTGGTGGCCGGGCGGAAGGGTGTCCCTCGCCGCTTTGTGAGCGTGAGGAGCCGCAGCCCAGCCCCGCCTGCCGGGGACTCCTGCCTGGGTGGACTCAGCACCGAGAGCTGGCTGTCCCCGGCCTTGGGACGGGCCAGGGACACTGGCAAGGGTCGTCCCCGGGAAGGCCAAGGTGAGGGACGCCGGGCAATCCCTGGACATGCCGTTCTGGCTTCAGAGCACAGAGACCTGGCACCTGAGTGGCCCCAGCCTAGCTCCCAGGAGCAAAGGTGGGCCTGGCTGAGCCGAGCGCCCGGCCTGCTGCAAGGTACCGGCCCTGCTGGCCTGGGGGCGTCCACCCCCGGGGCTTCCTCACGCCCCCAGAGCACCCTGCAGCCACACCGTTCCCCCAAACCTGACGGCCGTGTAGGGGGAGACGTGCCCCCGATGGGGCCAATTGTGACAATCACTCCAGCCCAAAGGGCCACAGTCATTGCCGGGAGAACCAGCCCCAGTGCCCAGGCCCGTCCAGGCGGGGACAGCACCCCTGTGCCCAGGGCTCTGGACCTCAGCCCCTGCTCCTTCCCCTGCTCCAGCCCCTGACAGCCCAGGACACCCGTGGCCTTCCCCCCTCAGATACCCCGAGGACTCCTCTGCCCCTGCTCCTTCCCCTCCGGCCGCGCCAGCCCCCCCCCCCACTCACTTGTTGTAGAGGACGATGTCTGGCCGCCAGATGAGCTCCGAGGGGATGCGGATGGAGGTGACATTCTCGTAGTCGGCGGGGTCCCAGCGCAGCTTGTAGTCATGCCACTCCTGCAGGGCGGTTTCCGTGAGGGGGAGGGGTGGGGGAGGGGAGGGTGGGGGAGGGGAGGGGCAGGGCGGCGTCCCCCACTCACCTGCTTCACCCACACGTTTGTGGTCATCATCTGGTTCTTCTCGTCCTAGGCACAGAGGACAGAGAGTGTGACCCCAGGACAGGACATTCTCCCTTCCCTCACTCTGTCTGCAGCCACCAGCACGAGGACGGGCTGGACGCAGCCAGCCACCCCAGGAGGGAGGCACTGCCTCGTCCCTGGAGGCAACCAAGCCCCGAGGGCCCCAGGGAGGTGGGGACAAGCCCCTCCAGAAGGAAGCTAAGCAGGTTAGGCTGCCTTCAAGGACGGGGAGGTGGGGACGGGAGCTCCAGGCTGCTCCTAGGACCCCCTCCCCGACCTCCTTGAAGGCCTCCGCCCGCCTCCCTCCCAGCACACCAGGCCCCCAGTGATCACGCACCTGCTCCCTCCTGCGGTTCCCCTGCTGGCAGGCCCTGGGCCCTGCTGGCCAGGGCAGGTGGGACTGGGAGACCCAGCTGCTCACTGTCGGGGCTGCACCACCCACCCTGGGAGTCTCTTCCCACCCCACCCCATGAGCACCCCATTAGCTGGGCCAGGAGAACGGATCCACCCCTCCCTTTCCTGATGGGGTCCATGCAGGGCACAGGGTCCTCAGGGACAGGAATCCCCCATTCTGTGGGTGCCGGGAGTCCACAGCCACACCCTGTCCCCGGGCACCCAGCAGGGGCAGGGACCTCCCTCCCCACAGTCTGGGGAGCACAGGTGCCCTCAGGTGCCTGCAGCTGTCCAAGGGGCAGGGGCTGTCCCCCTGCTGGAGGAGGGTCCAGGACGTTGGGGGCAGCATCCTGGCAACGTGGCTTCCCCCCCGCCCCATAGCCCAACTGTCTCTTCAGCCCAGACCAGGGACAAAGGCTCCCTTAGAAAAGCTGCTCAAGACAAACAGATCTCAGTGGTCAAGTGGGAAACGTGACGGGGTGGCAGTGAGACTCCTGTCCCCAGGCACAGCCCTCGGTTCCGCCCTCGCTGGCTCCCCGGGACAGGCCCCAACCCGTGAGGGCAGCACCGACGTCCCCCAAGGGCCCCAGGCCCTGCCCTAGGTCCTGCCACCAGCGGAGCCACCGGGGCAGGTCACCGGCCGCCTGGGTGTAGGTGGAACTCGGAGCAGAGCACGGAGCTGCTGCCTGGCCCTGTGCAGCCTGCACAACCTTGTCCCTGTGAGACCTCAGTCCCACAGGACAGGTCTCCACGTGCCCTGAGTGCTCCCACGTGTCCACCGAAGCATGTCGGGGTGTTTCAGGAGGACTCGGCACCAGCCCCGCGGGTCGGGACACCCAGGGGGATCCTAAGGCTCCGTGGCAGCCACGCTGGGCTTTGAACCCACACAGCACAGGAGCCCCTCCTGGACAGACCCCCCGTGACAGCGTCTACCTCGGCCACTGGAACACAAGCCCACAGAGTGGGCACAGGTGGGCGGGCACCAAGGTGGAGGCAGCCAGGTTCCAGCCGCTGGTGGGAGCGGCAGAGTGGGACACATGCCCTTGCTACCACAGGTGTGGCCATGCGTGAGCCAGCACCTCAGAGCTGTCAATGCACACGTGTGCATGTTCACATGTGTCTTCAGCCAGCTCCAGGGCAGAGAGCAAGGCTGGGAGCTACCCCAGGGCCCTCACGGTCCTGGCACCAGGTGTGCTCCAGTCCTCACCGTCTCGGGGTGAACCGGGGACCGCAGCAGTGCGGGACAGGGGAGTGAGCCCCAGCGAGCTCACAGGGGCCACGGGTGTTGGCGCACAAACCCGGAGCCTTGAACAGCCGCCAACGGCCGCCTCTGCCAGCCGCCGCTCTGCACCGTGTTTGCAAACCTCAGCAGAGTTGATGAGGCCTGACGTCTTGCGCTCTCTTCTGGCTGCGCCCCAGCCAGGGACACTCTCCGGGAGCCGTTCCCGGGCCAGTTCCAGGACACCTGAGGGTGTCGAGCGGGGCGGCGGCTCCCGGCAGGGTGGGCTATTCCAGTCTCCACGCACAGCCCGGTGCCACCTCGGGCAGTCAGTGCGTGGGATTGTGGCACAGTCCCCACCTGCCAGAGCCCCTGATGTGGCCCACTCAGCCGGGGACGGGGAAGCAGCTCCCACCCATTTCCTAGACGAGAACACGCCCAGCCCGGGTGCAGCCCCGCCCAGACAGAGGACCTCTCTTGGACCACGGCCCCTCCCCTGCCAGCAGACCAAGGCTGAGGTCCTGGCAGGTGTGGGTGGGCCTGGGGGGCTGTCTGCAGCCCCGGGGGATAAATCCCCTCCCCAGATTTGGGCTCCGCCCGGGACCAGGGAGCTGGGACTGGGCTCGGGGGCTGAGCTGGCCGGGCACCGTGTGGATGAATCCAGCCCTTCCAGACCCCTGAGGCCACCCCCCCCACCCAGGCTGGAGCCCACACTCTGGGAGCGGGACCCCCAGGCTATGCGCCCCCCCCCCCAGCAGGTACACCAAGGATGGCCCCACCCTATCTGGAGCGACTGAGGCTGGCCAGAAAACATAGAACTGTCCCCACTGGCCCTCACCCAGCCCCTCCAGAGACACAGCCCCCCGGGGGGGGGGCGCAGCCACCAGGGCTTTGGCCTCTAGCCATAAGCATGGGCAGAGGGCGAGGAGGGCGGGATTTGATTTCCGTGGGCTGGTTCAGGCTCTGGGTTGGCAGCCCATCATCTCCACTGTGCTTGGTTCTCCGAGCCTCGAAGCTGTCTCTCCATTTCTGCCCCCACCCAGGGCTCCACAAACACTGGCCCTCGCTACAGGGGACTCTGGCTGGACGCCCAAGTCCTCTCAGCAGCTTCCCAGGCCCGGTCCCAGGCAGGTGAGCACTTCAGGCACACAGCACCTGGCTGAGACTCGCCCAGACCCCGAGCCCCACATCAGGAGACGAGAGGCCTCCGGTCCGACCCGAGCTCAGGGGTGCGGCCAGGGCGCTGTGGGGCTGTCTGCGCAGCTGCCCCACAAAAGCCCCATACTCTGCTGCTCACCAGCCCAGGCATTGCCCCCTGCCCCCTACCTTCAGTGCCCTCTTCTGTTCTTTACTCCTGAAGGTGCCCTGACTCACTGCTGAGAACCCGGCCACTTGTGAATCTATTTCGAGGGGAGGGCAGGGCCAGGTGGGACACAGACCATCCTCTGCCGGGCTCAGTGGGCCGGAGCTGGCAGTGCCCGTCCCAGCCGCCGGCATGCGGCTCCTTCCCAGACTCCGGGCTCCCTGCTGGCGACCTCAGTCCCCGGGTGGCGGCCCAGGCCCCACCTACCACGTCAATGAGCTGTGCGATGGACAGGCCAAAGCGGACCAGGACCACGTCCGAGATGTTGGCCACTGGCCGCGACCACTTGTTGTAGCCGGAGAAGAGTCTCTTGAGGAGCCGCTCCTCCGCGTGGGCGCGGGTCTCCACGTGGCCGCCCACTGCAGGAGAGGAAGGCGGACGCTCAGGCTCGGGCCACCCAGGCTGCCGAGGCTCATGCCAGCCACACGCAGCCACCTCCCTGCCTCCACCTCTACCCCAGGACATGGCACACCCCACCCCATGGCCTTCTCTGCCCCATCCGGGCCTCAGTTTCCCCTCTACCCTGGGGTGCAAAGGGAACGGCCTCAGGGAAGGCTTTCCAGACACCTCAGGCCAGGGCAGGCCCTCCTAGCCCCCGGCTCCTCACCGGGAAACCAGGCCACGGCTCCGACCGGCTCTGCCGTGGCCACAGCAGCTAGCGACCTCCAGGGAACGGGCTGCACCTCCAGCGGCCAGCACCGGGCAGAGGGTGTGGGGCCCCGGCAGGGCCGTGGAGGGAGGGAATGAGGCCACCAAGGGGCCACTGAGAGAGCCTGTGTCCTGCAGCCGATAACTGTGTGACGACATCGTCTGATGCCCAAGGGGGTTTAAGGCAGAGCCTGACCACCGGCCCAGCACCCTCGGAGCCGCCGCTGGCTCCATGTTCGTGGGCAGAAACCGAGCAAGCTGCCTGCAGAGGAGTCCCTCAGCAGCCCGGCCACCACCATCCGTGCCCCGTCAGCACCTGCCCACATGGTCTGGGACCTCCCAGCCTCCCTTGGGGCTGCACCACCCTGGGCAGTTGGGGAGCGTGAATGGAGACCCCACAGACAGGACCTTGGGGGGGGTCAGTCCTAGACCCCTGGGGCCCCTGACTCCCAGCCCAGAGCCCACCCGACCTTGCTCTTCCTGGGCCCTTTGACCAGTGAGGTGCAGCCCTGGGAACCCAAGGGGTTAAATTCCCCCTCAAAGCCCCTGACAGGGTGGGGGCTCTGGGTGGTTGCCCAGATGGGGGGCAAAGCTGGAACTTCCCCTTCTGAGCCTGGGGGAGCAGAAAAGGAGGGGTGGGGGCCTTCCAGGGCAGAGGACAGTCCTCTGATGTAAGCTAGAAGCGGGCAAGGGGGAGTCTTCAGGGAAAGGTGGCCGATGGGGAAAGGGAGAAATGGGCCCCACCTCTACCCAAGTTGGGCTCCTGGGTCCAGCTCCTGAAATAGCAGCTGGAACTCCCCCTCGGCCACCAAGCCCCTCTCCCCCATTGGCGGCCGGTTAACTCCTTTCTCCCCTGCCTCAGCCCTGGCCCAAGGCAGCCTGTGCGTCCCGGGGATGGGGGAGCCTCCGCAGCCGCCCCTTTGCGCGCACCCGTGGCCGGGACCGCAGTCAGGAGCCTCTCCCGCCTCTGGCTCCGGGCGCCCGGGGCTGCCCGGGACCGGGGCGACAGGGGGCCTCCCAGCGCCCCCAAACTTACCCGGCAGGAGGCCGGCCCCCAGAAGCAGCAGCAGCGGCGGCAGCGGCGGCGGCGCCCCGGGGCCCCCGAGCTCCATGGCGCACGCACCTCGCGGGCTCTAGATGCGGGCGGCTCCCGGCTCCGCCGCGCCCTCCCTCCGAGGCCCGCGCGCGCCCAACTTCATGCCCCCGCCTCGCGGGCCGCTCGGTCCGCACGCCCGGCTCGCAGCTCCTCCCGGGCGCGGCGCAGCGGTGCCGGAGCGCAGGGCTGTGGGCTCGGTGGCGCGGCCCCGCCCGGCCCTGCCCGCCTCCAGCCGGCTGGGAGGAGGGGGAGGGGAGCGAGGAGGACGGAGCGGAGGGAGGGGAGGAGGGGGAGAAGGCGGCCGTGCTTGGCCCCGCGCGGGGTAAAGTTTCCTTGCCCTCCCGGGCTTTGTATGTGCGGAGCTGGGGCTGGGGACCCTGTGATCGCAGCCTGCCGCTGCGGGATCCGGGCGGTCTGACCCCGTCTGGTCCCCAGCCCTGGGGGAGGGGGCGCCCCCCAGGGAGCTGGCTAACTCCACCCCCCGCCCGAGGGTAGCGTTTGCAGTTGGGAAATCTCCAGTCTCCGGGTCGCCTTCCCGCGCCAGCCGTTCAGGAGAGTGGCCTCCCTCCGCTGTCCGGGAAGAAGCGCCCAGTGGGGGCCAGGCCCTGGCTGCCTTCTGGGGAGGAAAAGGGCGCTAACGCCACGCGGCCTCTCTCTGTCTCAAGGTCCAGCCCGGGCTCAGGGTCCAGCCCCTTCCCCCTGTGCCCCGTGGCTGCGTGGGGGAGCTGGGCGCCCCGTCCCGGCTCCATGTGGGGGCCCAGCAACAGAGGGTCTCGGGGCCAGGTGCTCCGACCGTCCTTGAAGAATTTGCCAGCACTGAGGTGGAGACAGACGCCCCGCGTGTCCCCAGGGAGGACCCCACCCTCAGGGAGGGCAGGTGCTCCGAGGAGGAGGGCTTTGTGCGGCCGGCCGCAGCTCTCTGGGCTTGGAGAGCATGCCGCTGCTTTGCAGGAGCGTCAGACCAGCGGCCATCCCTGCGCTGCCGGGGCCGGGGTTCTGCAGCCAGGACCGGCCCCTACTCGGACATGGGGGGCCCGACGTGGGGGGCAGGGCAGAGGGGCTGGAGGTCTGCGTGCCTGCTGGCTGGCACCCTCCCAGGCTGTCCCTCCCCACCCAGGGAGGAGAGGCGAGGGCAGGGCAGTGGGGCTGCGACTCCTGCAGCTGAAGCCTTTGTCGGACGCGCCCTTCCTGAACAGAACCCCTGACTCGTGCTGCCACAGAACAATGCAATTTGCAGAGCCAGTTCCACACTTTTTTATTGCTAACAGAGGCCGGCCACCCTGCAACCCCTTCCAGACGTCTCTTTTCCAACGGTCTCAGCCTCAGCAGCCGGCAAAGCAGAGCTCATTACTCTGGCAACCCGGGGTGGCGGGGGATGGGGTGGTGAGGCATGAACAGGTGTCACTGGCTGACACGGCGACATCCCTCAACACCGAGGGGGGCCACGTCCCATGACATCCCTCAACACCGAGGGGGGCCACGTCCCATGATTCCACGCAGCCAGAGACTCCTTTGGGGGGTGTGCCCACCTGCTTTTGCATTTAGGCTCACGGTCTCATCCCTGAGGTTAAAGTTGAGGCAGAATGGGTCGGGTTCGGCAGCTCATCTGTGATCCCAGCACTCTGGGAGGCTGGAACGGGAGGATGGCTTGAGGCCAGGAGTTGGAGGCTGCAGTGAGCTATGATGACGCCACAGCACTCTACCTGGGACGACAGAATGAGACTGTCTCAAAAAAAAAAAAAAAAGGTTGAGGCAGAGTGTTAGGCTGGGGTCAGGGTGGAGGGAGGAGGGCACACAGGAATGCAACCGGGGGACCAGGGAGTCAGCTGGGGAGGTTGCTAAAGTCCGGATTCTGGAGTGAGCCCCACATCTGTGACTGCGAACAAACGTCGCCAGGCAGCTCTGACACAGGGAGCCCCAGACCACAGGCTGAGAGCCGGACTTAGAGCCACTTGGCCCCCGGTGAACATGGAGGGTCAGGCAGGGGCTGCACCCTTGGCCGGGGCTCAGTCCTGGCGTCCTGGCCTTGGGGACGTGCGGGAACTTGCCCCGAGTCTACTCGGGGAGACGGGCTGTGGGCGCCTCAAGTAGCCTGGAGCGCCGGGCTGGGCCGGCTCTGTCTTTTCCATTCCTGCTTCGCTTTTTCTGGCCGCAACTGAGGCTTTGTGCCCAGCGCTCAGCCAGCTCAGGGTGGTGGCTCCCGCTGGGGAGCTCCCACAGGTGACCTCACCCCAAGAGCCCAGCCAAGGCCACAGCCGTGGGTCCCGGAGCCAGAGGCCAGGCTGGGGTCAGCGCGGTGCCCGGGGGCCCTGGCCAAGTGCGCACGCTCACACACATCTGTCCGGCCCTGCCGGCCTCTCCGGCAGATTTGCTAATGCGGCAAGATTAATCAGGCCTAACTCATTAATGTGCTCAGCCCCTCCCGCCCCACCTGCGCCCCTGGAAAGCTCCGGAATGGGAGCCAGCAGCCATCAACTGCTGAATTAGATTCTTACCCCAGACCCAGGCCCCTCCTGCTGCTCCAGAATTGCAGTTTCAAAGGAAATGAAAACTCCCAAGTCACAGGCCCAGGGGACCAGCGCTGGGGCCAGACTCTCCAGCCTGAGTCCCCCGAGGGTGCCTGGGGGTGCAGATGTGGAGGGGGGTCCTGGCAGACACCTGCCCCTCCCCACCCCCGCCAAAGTCACTGCCAGCCCCACACTGTCGCTGGCCAGAGTGACAGTCATCTCTGCAGGGACAGGTCCTCTCCTCTGCCCTCTCTCCTTCCACCTGTCCCAAGGACATTGCCATGGCAACCGACTGTCAGCATAAATAAGGATTCCAGTAAAGGTGGGAGCACGGGGGGGGGCATTGGCTGGTGCCCACGGATGGGGGGCCATCGTGGGATGAGGGGGCGCAGAGTCTGCAGGCACCGCCCCCACCCCACGCGGCTCCCTCCTCCTCCTGCCCCGTCAGCCAGGCCATCAGGGTCCCTGCTCTGCTGCACCCTCTGTCCCACCCGGTAGCCCCGGGAGAGACCCCGGGAAACCCAGCTCCCAGCCCCTGCCCCATAACCCTGCTCCACGCCTCTCCCCGCCCCACCCACCAGCAAGGTGGGCCCTTTCTCAATCCACCTCTCAATGGGCGCACCCGGCCCAGCCCCCCAGCAGCGGCCCTGCGGCTCTGTCCTGACAGGCCACTGCACAGAAAAGCCCTTTGTCCTGGCTGGCTACTGCCGGCCAGTGATTTCCAGCCTGAGCACTTCAGAAGCCACCTCTGCGTCCAGCGAGGGTCGATGCAGCTCTGGGGAGGGACAGGCGCAGCGTCCCCGTGGGGGCAGGGCGGGGGGGGGGCTGCGGGCGGCAGAGCTGCAGAGGCTGAGCCGGGACATGCAGACCCAGCCGTGCGTGCGGTGGCCTCCAAGGAGAGCAGCACGTCCTGCAGGGACATTCTCTCCTCCTCCCCACCCCCGAGGCACCCACCTCGCCCTCCCTGGTGCCCACACCTGCCCCAAGTAGAGGAGACCTCCCCATTTTTAGTTCTGGGTGGAGCTTTGCTGGTGCCGTGAGACCCCTCGGCCGGGCCCCTCTGGACCAGTGGAGGCACCTCGCCGGGCGTGGCCCAAAGCCCCAGGTGAGATCCTGGCTCACGAGAGGCCCGAGCCCCCATCCCCGGGCTCGTCATGTCTGCTGAGACCCCCACACTCTGGTGCCCTCCAGACCCCCTGGGGGCTTCTCTTCTGGGAGTGCCGGGTGCAAGGCTCTCAACGAGGGGCTCACGCAGCTGGTTTGTGGGTGTCTGTCTCCCCCGGGCAGAGGGTGGCTTCCCGGCCGCTCCACAGGGCATGGGTAGAGGTCACTGGATACCCTGCAGGAGGGACTGGGCACTCACAGGCCCGTCCTGCCCAGACCAGGGCTTGGCCCTGCCCGAGAAGCTTCCCAGGGTCCTCCAAGGGAGGGAGGGGCCCCTCCTGGATTTGGTCTCCCCAGAAAGTGCGCAACTGCCTCGGGGGCGTGGACAGCGTGGGGCCCCTGCTGGCGTGGGCAGCCCAGGCAGAGCTGTTCCCTGCAGACCCTGAGCAGAGCTGGGCCCTCCCCAGCGACCCCCTCCAGGCATGTGCCTCGCTGGGTATCTCAGGGTCCCTCTGGGGCACTTGTGAGCCATGGGACTCTGGGCAAGGCCCCACCCTTCTCGGCTCAGCCCCTCACCAGTACAGCTGTGGGACACGGATGGCCGCCTGGCCTTGCAACCTCCGGGAGGGTCTCCCTGGGGCCAGAGCTGGCTGAGGCCCAGCGGCAGGCAGGACAGGAGCCCTGGCGGGCCAGGCATTGCCACAGGGGGCGGCTGCAGGCCCAGAGGCCTGTAGAGGGCAGCATGAAGCAGAGGTCACCTCTGTGTGTGTGGTTCGTGTGTGCACATGGATGTCTGTGCATGGGGTGTGTGTGTGAGGTATGTGTGCACAGGGGTGTGTGTGTGTGTGCCCAGGCTTGTGTGTGTGTGTGTGTGTGTGTGAGGTATGTGTGCATAAGGGTGTGTGTGAGGTATGTATGCACAGGGGTGTGTGAGGTATGTGTGCACAGGGGTGTGTGTGAGGTATGTATGCACAGGGGTGTGTGTGAGGTATGTGTGCACAGGGGTGTGTGTGAGGTATGTGTGCACAGGGGTGTGTGAGGTATGTGTGCACAGGGGTGTGTGTGAGGTATGTGTGCACAGGGGTGTGTGAGGTATGTGTGCACACGGGTGTGTGTGAGGTATGTGTGCACAGGGGTGTGTGAGGTATGTGTGCACACGGGTGTGTGTGAGGTATGTGTGCACATGGGTGTGTGAGGTATGTGTGCACAGGGGTGTGTATGTGAGGAATGTGGGTATAGTGTGTGCGTGCACAGGGGTGTGTGAGGTATGTGGGTATAGTGTGTGTGTGCACGGGTGTGTGTGAGGTATGTGGGTATAGTGTGTGTGTGCACAGGGGTGTGTGTGCATGGCGTGTGTGCACACCTGGGGTGTGGGTGTACACAGAGCGTGTGTGCACACCTGGGGTGTGGGTGTACACAGAGCGTG